TACTTCTGTCTCCAAACGCGCACCTCGCTTTAGCGAGAGCGATTCGACCCACCCAACGTGCGCAGAGGGTTCACTTTGCGCGCTCCAAATGTGCACCGCGCCACAGCGAGAGCGAGTCGACCCACCCAAAGTGCGCAGAGGTTCGCTTTGCATGCTCAAAATGCGCGCCGCGCCACAGCGAGAGCGATTTGACCCACCCAAAGTGCGCAGAGGGTTCGCTTCGCGTTCGCAAAACGCTCACCGTGCCACAGCGAGAGCGATTTGATCCACCCAAAGTGCAGAGGGTTCGCTTCGCAGACCGTGGGTGATGCGGTCGGGGAGGTCGGGGAGGAGCGGCGCAGGCTGGAGAGGGAGCCCGCAACGAGGCCGCGAGGAACCTTGTGTTGCAGGGGTGGCCGAGGCGCCTGTCCAGTTGGGAGACCACCTCATGGAGGACGTGGACAAGGAGGGGAATGAGCCGTCAAATTCTCTTTGACCGCGTGAACGAGGAGGCTCTTGGAGAGCTGGCCACGCGGGAGGTATCCAAACAAGGTGTTCCGTTTGAGCAACGGCTCCGGTCCCACGCTGTTCTGCAGGGGATCTCCTGGCGCAGTGCGGCCAGAACAGGCTTCCGTGCGGGGCACGCGCCTACAAGACTGTCTACTTCGAGGAGTCTCTCATGGTGTATCTCAAGAAGAAGGGGAGACGGCGCACGGAAGGCGCTCCGCTTTCAGAACCCAGGAGTGGCCAGCGGGCACATGGCCGCTTCCACCTTCATGCTGCCGAGATGGATGAGAGACGTGGCCAGAGCGGGGCTGCGCAACCACTACACGTTCGACTTGGCGAACTGCCACCCCTCACTTATCGCGGCCCGACACGATTCCGCATTTTTGAAGAATTTCGTGGCAGAGCGGGACGCTGCGCTGGCAAAGACGCACCCCGACCGGACTGCAGCCAGCAGGGTAATGATGCTTAAAGCATCGCGTGGGGCAGGTGGAGCGGCTTTACTGTGCCTTGACCAAATCCAGATACATCCATTTCAGGTGGCACTGTGGCGATTTCAGAAAAACGTGAATGGGAGTCCGATTTCTTTGATGTTGCATAGGCAAGCGCATGCCTGGATCATGGAGACGATGCATCAGGCCCGCCCGCCGAAAGAGGCTTTTGGGCCAGGAGCCAGACAGTCAAAGTGGATCAAATCACCTTTTCAAACAGACTTGTTTCATTTCCAAAAGGAACTGCAAGCACACAAGCTTCCTTTTGGGGTGCAGAGTTGGAGAGGCGAAGAACCCGGGACCTCCCAGTCACCTTGTCAGA